GACAGTCCCATGTAGGAGCAAAGTGACACAAATGCAATAAAAAAATCAATCATGTGATAAAATCTTTATTAACCTATAAATAATCATTAATAACAGACATTCTGTGGTATTTATGTAAAATCCACCACAATTAGATGGAAGAATGAAGTGTCTGCATCAGGAAAATCTGTTAAGTTCTATATAGAATGTAATTTCAGTCTACAATGTCTTGTACTAAGTCTGTTACATTACTTCTTCTCGTACTCATTACTAACAATAAAACGTTAAACAAACAGTGTTTTCAAGTCGTCGATACAGCATTTAGTTTTATTTCGCACTACCAGCAAAATTGGAGAATTTCAGAAAAAGATTTGAAATAGTCCGATTCTAGGGCTGCTGAAAGGGTTAATCCAGGTAATGAGCGTTTCCAATTAGCAGCGAGGGACCCAATATAACACAGGATTAACTGGAATCAGAACAGTATCCGAGGAAAATGATACGGGTTTCCTTTAACCTCTTCACCACCAACCAAGCCAACGGAGATTAAACACAATTACAGTGAATTGAAATTATGGCAAAACTCAGGTTTAAAACAATTCTCCAACACGGCTATAGCCGCCGCTTGGCTGTCGAAGCCTAAATTATGCAACTCGGGTTTCAATTCACTACAAATCGCAGTTTAGTCAATAAACCCCGCAGTTTAATCCACATGCTTTGGTTACACTGGATTTTGATAAAATGTGTAACAAGTCACCGCCTGATGAAATTACATTAACTTTACTCCACTTGATGCTCTGCTTCCATTGTCATCCTTTTAGATGGGGTGTGATGCTACTAATGTCGGCTAGGTGTCCTGGAAGTTGTTTTCTTAATCCACTTAAATGAGCAGCAAGAAAAGTGAATGATAAAATGTTGAATCAAATGTAAAAATGAATGAAATGCAGCAAATACTGAGCTGGTTCGGGGATCTGAGTGTGTTTTATTTAATCTGCAATATTCTGCCATTAGAAGCCTGATAACCACGATAAAACAGAAAGTGCGAGATTGTGGGGTTTAATCACAAAACCAAACTGCAAAACTCTGGGAAAAAGGACACCCAGCTATATTTATATATCAAAGAATGTTTCCAAACCTTGAATTATCCTTCCTAAATCCTGCATTCTCTATAAGTCACTGTTTAGTGAAAACCCCCATAGTGTATCTGAATACATTTCTTGCTACAATACAATGTTCAGTTATATTTGTAAATAATCGGATTAATAACATTTCAATTTTACACTACAATTATAATAAGGACTTTCTTAACAGTGCACACCTGTACGCTTGCAACGTGTGCTGTGAGCCCATAATATATCTTCATAGGAATACTGTGCGAGAATTCCCTTTACTAATATTAGTATTCTGGAACCCCCCGCGGGACTAATGGGACATGCCAAGTACACCTGTTAGCGGTATATTAAACATGTATGTGCTATGATGTATGTTGTGATACATGTATATATATATATATATATATGTGTTTGTAAGTATCTACATGCAAGGGTTTATTGATGTAAACATGTTTAAACACCAATTGTGGATTATTGACAAGGAAACTGCATAGTTTACACCAAACCACATAAGAATAACAATAACCATTTTTTCCAGTTCAACTTATTTGATCAATTCTCTACATTACACAGTTTAGTGAATAGGCTGCAAACATTTTCAATAAAGATCAACGGGTAATGAGACATATTTCTGAGTGGTAGATGAGGAACCTATAGCTGAATACAGACTGGGCAGCATTGCTCGCTGATAAACTCAATCACATGGGAAGTTTGGTATGACACTAAGTATCTGCTGCAGGTGTCCACATAAAGTCATCGCCCAGTTGTAACCAAGTTCTTTATTGGTCCATCTTGTAATGTTCTTAGTAGTCACATCTGGGTTTCACCCCACTTGCTTCTTCAGAGGTCATTCCAGGAACCTCTGCATCCTCCATAACTTTGGAAGAGCCACATTTTTGTGTTGGAGTTGAGACTTCCTTGCTGGCTTTCGCCCCAAACTTCAGGTCATGGTGGGTATGAGCAGGAGACACACGGGCTTTCTTTCCAACTTGTCTCCGAGGAGTGTAATAGCCATCTACTGATGGATTCTCAGCCAGGATGGTCTTGAATCCTCTCTTGGACCTGCCACTTAGGTCCCTACTTCTCTTAAGAAGAGGATCCACACTGTGGCTTCCTGCTGCTACCACTGGTGGTGAGGTGACTGCACTGCTAAAATCCAGAGTCTTGTTTCCCTTGGAAGATGGAGCCCATATGAGGCCATAATAAACCGCCAGGATAACAGCAGCCAGGGATACACAAAGAAAATACGCTACCACCGTCGCCAGTCTCACCCACTGCTTGTTGTTCAATCCTGAAGTCTTTGTCTTCTTATCGTCTGAGTCCTGGCTCGTCACCCCGATCCCATCCAGATCCCTGTGTGTCATGGTGGTTCAGGTAGAGAGAGAGGTGCGTTTTTAACTGGTCTCGATGATCTCCTACATGGACATGACAGCCAGACACAGGCGTCTCTCCGTCTTATTTCTGGACAGAATACCTAGGACGGTCTCCTCTGCCATCAGCGACCTGCACGTTATCACCAGAGAATGCTGGATGCACGATGAGTGGGATTCGGTGCTTTCAGCTCATCACATCTCTTGCAATATTCATAGGGAGCCATCTAATTCCCTACTCACTCTATCCTTCCAATCACTGTGTATTTGCATTGAGAGATCCTGGCAGACGCCCCCTGCTCATGATGCACTTGGTGCAGTCTGAATGTACCCTGCAGCAGAGATAGGGATGGATTGTATATACGTCAAAAGCGATGACTTGTTTTCCACATGAAACGGTGGTTGAGAGCAGGTCTGGTGGAGCTCTGTGCGAGCAGAATTCATTAGGAAAGGGGGGAGGTTAACGGGGAGATGGTGTGTGTGTGTCAGTCTGCCTCGGTTCTCCTTAATTTGTCTTGAAACGACATGAATCCGTAATGCGGTCTCTTTGTACTTCTCCGTGTTTAGTGAATTATTACATAATGGTGAGCAGTGCACAATGATGAATAATAGATCACAGTTCTACTTTACAAATGAAAGTCCATGTATTAAAATATAATTATTTCTACGCAATTTCCACATTACAAATCTCACATCTAAAGGGAAAGAACTTATCATGTGAATAGGGCAGACTTTTATATAGATATATATATTTATGTAATAATATAAAGATATGTATAGATTCTATGGAATCCGAGGAAAATTATACTGATAAATGATTCTATGGTGATATAAAGATACATATAGATTCTATGGTCTTATAAAGATACGTATAGATCATATGGTGATATAAAGATATCTATAGATTATTTAGTGATATAAAGATACATAGAAGTCTTGGCCTGTAATTGTGGGAGGTACATGGAACCCTACTTAAACCCAGTGAGCCCCTGCTTACCTGTCGTCGACGATTTCGGAAGTGACCCTCCCACTGCACCCTCTATTTATTCTCATATCACCTTTTACAGGTCTGTGTGATAAATGTTTCTATTTGTAACAATGGTCGCATTTACAACTTTTGGCACTTTTCTCCTAAATTAGTTTACAATACTATCAAACCTTACTTCACAGGCATACACATTTGTCTATTACTCATACCAAAACGAGCCATACTGGTCCTCCAGTAGAGATGAAATATTATCCTACCTCTACCAAATCAGGTCCTATCCACGTTTTGGATAATCTTTTGGAATCTCAACTCACTTCCATCCCTGATTCCCCACTAGTAGCTTTTCAAGGGAAACCCCTAACCAATAAACGTTGTATGCTTTACATTCGTACGATATCACTCTGACTAGGACATAACCCTCATTCCTTCTCAGGCCATTTATTCCGCATTGGAGCAGCCACAGCTGCCTCTGGTAATCACGTACCAACTCACATCATTAAAATATGGGTCGGGGGCAAATCATCCGCATACAACAAATACATCCCCAATCCTGAGAAAGAAATAAGGTTAGCTTTCTGTGAAATGTCTAAATAATGATCTGCTGAATAAATGTATCTGACTTGTAAAAATCGCTTCTTATATTTTGGCCTCTTTTACAGGTCTAACCTCACGTCAGTGTCGGCACACCTCAACTGACTTTGCTCTCACTACTATTGCTTCTTTATTATTGTTCCTTACGTCCTCGAAATGTGCCGTACACAAGTATAGATTCTATGGTGATATAACGATACGTATAGATTCTATGGTTAATAAAGATACGTATAGATTCTATGGTGATATAACGATACGTATAGATTCTATGGTGATATAACGATACGTATAGATTCAATGGTGATATAACGATACGTATAGATTCTATGGTGATATAAAGATACGTATAGATTCTATGGTGATATAACGATACGTATAGATTCTATGGTTAATAAAGATACGTATAGATTCTATGGTGATATAACGATACGTATAGATTCTATGGTTAATAAAGATACGTATAGATTCTATGGTGATATAAAGATACGTATAGATTCTATGGTCTTATAAAGATACGTATAGATTATTTAGTGATATAAAGATACGTATAGATCATATGGTGATATAAAGATATCTATAGATTATTTAGTGATATAAAGATACATAGAAGTCTTGGCCTGTAATTGTGGGAGGTACATGGAACCCTACTTAAACCCAGTGAGCCCCTGCTTACCTGTCGTCGACGATTTCGGAAGTGACCCTCCCACTGCACCCTCTATTTATTCTCATATCACCTTTTACAGGTCTGTGTGATAAATGTTTCTATTTGTAACAATGGTCGCATTTACAACTTTTGGCACTTTTCTCCTAAATTAGTTTACAATACTATCAAACCTTACTTCACAGGCATACACATTTGTCTATTACTCATACCAAAACGAGCCATACTGGTCCTCCAGTAGAGATGAAATATTATCCTACCTCTACCAAATCAGGTCCTATCCACGTTTTGGATAATCTTTTGGAATCTCAACTCACTTCCATCCCTGATTCCCCACTAGTAGCTTTTCAAGGGAAACCACTAACCAATAAACGTTGTATGCTTTACATTCGTACGATATCACTCTGACTAGGACATAACCCTCATTCCTTCTCAGGCCATTTATTCCGCATTGGAGCAGCCACAGCTGCCTCTGGTAATCACGTACCAACTCACATCATTAAAATATGGGTCGGGGGCAAATCATCCGCATACAACAAATACATCCCCAATCCTGAGAAAGAAATAAGGTTAGCTTTCTGTGAAATGTCTAAATAATGATCTGCTGAATAAATGTATCTGACTTGTAAAAATCGCTTCTTATATTTTGGCCTCTTTTACAGGTCTAACCTCACGTCAGTGTCGGCACACCTCAACTGACTTTGCTCTCACTACTATTGCTTCTTTATTATTGTTCCTTACGTCCTCGAAATGTGCCGTACACAAGTATAGATTCTATGGTGATATAACGATACGTATAGATTCTATGGTTAATAAAGATACGTATAGATTCTATGGTGATATAACGATACGTATAGATTCTATGGTGATATAACGATACGTATAGATTCTATGGTGATATAAAGATACGTATAGATTCTATGGTGATATAACGATACGTATAGATTCTATGGTTAATAAAGATACGTAAAGATTCTATGGTGATATAACGATACGTATAGATTCTATGGTGATATAACGATACGTATAGATTCTATGGTGATATAACGATACGTATAGATTCTATGGTTAATAAAGATACGTATAGATTCTATGGTGATATAAAGATACGTATAGATTCTATGGTGATATAACGATACGTATAGATTCTATGGTTAATAAAGATACGTATAGATTCTATGGTTAATAAAGATATATAGATTCTATGGTGATATAACGATACGTATAGATTCTATGGTTAATAAAGATACGTATAGATTCTATGGTGATATAACGATACGTATAGATTCTATGATTAATAAAGATACGTATAGATTCTATGGTTAATAAAGATACGTATAGATTCTATGGTGATATAACGATACGTATAGATTCTATGGTTAATAAAGATACGTATAGATTCTATGGTGATATAACGATACGTATAGATTCTATGGTTAATAAAGATACGTATAGATTCTATGGTGATATAAAGATACGTATAGATTCTATGGTTAATAAAGATACGTATAGATTCTATGGTGATATAACGATACGTATAGATTCTATGGTTAATAAAGATACGTATAGATTCTATGGTGATATAACGATACGTATAGATTCTATGATTAATAAAGATACGTATAGATTCTATGGTTAATAAAGATACGTATAGATTCTATGGTGATATAACGATACGTATAGATTCTATGGTTAATAAAGATACGTATAGATTCTATGGTTAATAAAGATACGTATAGATTCTATGGTTAATAAAGATACGTATAGATTCTATGGTGATATAATGATACGTATAGATTCTATGGTGATATAACGATACGTATAGATTCTATGGTTAATAAAGATACGTAAAGATTCTATGGTGATATAAAGATACGTATAGATTCTATGGTGATATAACGATACGTATAGATTCTATGGTTAATAAAGATACGTATAGATTCTATGGTTAATAAAGATACGTATAGATTCTATGGTGATATAACGATACGTATAGATTCTATGGTGATATAACGATACGTATAGATTCTATGATTAATAAAGATACGTATAGATTCTATGGTTAATAAAGATACGTATAGATTCTATGGTGATATAACGATACGTATAGATTCTATGGTGATATAACGATACGTATAGATTCTATGGTTAATAAAGATACGTATAGATTCTATGGTGATATAACGATACGTATAGATTCTATGGTGATATAAAGATACGTATAGATTCTATGGTTAATAAAGATACGTATAGATTCTATGGTGATATAAAGATACATATAGATTCTATGGTTAATTAATGACAATATGCATAGATCCTCTAATGATGTGAAGATAGCTATATAAATGTCATACTCTGAGAACCCTTTTAACTGTAAAAGTTATGTAGTATAAATATAATGCATGATTTCAAACTGTTACTGTTCTAAAGGGAACTCTATATGCTAACCTCCCGCTGATATCAGTACGAGGAGGTTCTAATATCATAGGAACCCTTAGCTGAGACTTAGAACAAAACGCAACCACATGTAAAGATTGTGCAAACTGAGCAAAATGTACGTCAACACAAAGATACGTTTAAATGGACCTATTAAAATATATTGAGCCCATTCCTCCCTGCGAAGTCCTGACCGGGTTATAAAATAAAGGAAAGTAAGTGTTCTGCATGCGCACTAGCGGCTAATGATTTCCAATGGGGTGATCTCAGCTAAGGAGGCGTGACGGCAGGGTGGAGACGGTGCTGCGAGGGAAAAGCGTTAGTAAAAGACTGCTGGTGGGGGCTGGTAGAGTAAACAGCCACGAAGGCACTATATTCCTAACGGTATTGTGATCCTTTAAAATGAGAATTATTCAATCACTTCAAAATCAGGATTACCCAAAGTAAGGTATAAAGAGGATCTTGGGGCAGATATGTCAGAGCCTTTGCTTTTTGAGGTCCCTTTAAGCTGATTGCTGTCACCCAGCGCTGGGGGTACATTCGATTACATAGGATCACACTTTATTAGTGTGCTGTGGCTGTAATTTGAGGCCCCTTTGCTGTCACCCAGCGTTGGGGGTACATTCGATTACATGGGATCACACTCTATTAGTGTGCTGTGGATGCAATTTGAGGTCCCTTTAAGCTGATTGCAGTCACCCATCGCTGGGGGTACATTCGATTACATAGGATCACACTCAGTGTGCTGTGGATGCAATTTGAGATCCTGTGCGGTATCACGGTTAGACAACTCGTGGTAGCTTCCAGTTGTAGTCTTAAAGTTCACCGGTCATTAAGAGAGTTAAGTAACGGGATGGTTGTGAGAATGTCAATGTATTGAAGACCATTCATGTGAGAATGTTTAAATGAAAACCTGTCAGGCCAAAAACTACTTTTTATCTTTTTAAAGAACATTCGGTTTAATCAGGGCCGCCATCAGAAATTTTGGGGCCCCTGACAAATCACAAGGTCTGGGTCCCCCCACCCCCTATGAGCCAGGAGGATCCATTCGGGACTTTTATTCGTTTTATGGCTTTTTCTGAATTGACCGACCGCACACGCTGAATTCGTGGAACTGTTTTGGGCAGGAGCTTTGTGTGTGGTCGGTAACTTGTGACTACTTTTTAAGAACCCCTGAACCGATCTGGGTGAAATTTTGATATGTTGGTCCCCCAGATTGGGGCTATCAGGGGATATGTAATTTGTGGGGATACCTTGTGTGGAAAGGGGTGTTCTAACTTGTGAAAATTGTGTGCTCTCTGCCTGGAGTTAATTGGCTTATTCCTTAACTTATCTCAATATCTCCCAGGCAGAGAGAGGGCGGGGGTTACTGTAAATCTGTATGATGATTGGTTATTGTCTTTGTTTACTGTGGGAGGTCCTCTTGCAGGAGGATTTCTCATAAAAGCCAGTGTGTCATCAATAAACATGATTCCTGTTACACCCTTCATGAAGTCTAGGTTCATGCTTGGGGAATATTCTATTTGCTGGGGAGAATCATCTTGGAAGCTGCATTCATCTACAATTATCCTCTACCTCCTAACTGCAGTTATAATCACTTATGCTCAGTTCCTTCACTTATGGGGAAGGAATAGGAGATTGCATTACCATAACCACTGCAGGTCTTAACAACTGGTGGCAAGCGACTGGATTGAATGGGACACATAAAGACAACTGGTGAATGGCCCAGCAGTACGAGAGACTAAAAAGGACTACGCTAAAGGACCTGCTGGAGGTGGCAAGCAACAAAAAGAAAGCTACCCTCATAGCAGAACTAATGGAGCAGCATGGCGAATGTCAGCCGGGAGGAAACAGAGTTTCAACAGAAGGTGATGTGGAGGCTAAACCTATATGGGCCAAATCCTACACCGGAGATGGTAACGCAAGTCCTGGCTCAGATGAGTGCAGAACGCAGAGCACAACAGGCAAGCTTAAATCAAGGAGACACCGCTTCCTTAGCTGGATCTATAAATGGAGGGCAGCGGAGAAAGATTAACTATGCTGCTTTTAAAAGTTTTTCGGATGGAGAAATGAAAATTGACGCATACCTACAGGATTTTGAGCGTCAGTGCGCTTTGGAGAGTCTGGAATCAGCGCAATGGACTGCAATTTTAAGCAGCAGAGCGGGCCGAGCAGCAGAGGCGTACCGAGCAGTTCCTGATACAGCCATACATGACTATGTCAGGGTAAAGGAAATTCTGCTAGCCAGGTATGCAGTGACCCCAAAGACTTACAGGAAAAAGTTGAGAGCATTACAGAAAGGGGGCCAAGACTCCTACACCGAATGGGCCTTTAGGATGTATCGGGCAGCCCCAAACTGGATATAAGGCTGCCAGGCCACGACGCTAGAGGAGGTGCTGCAACTCCTCTTGCTAGAACAATATTTTGACCATACACCTGCAGACACCAGGGACTGGGTCAGAGATAGGAAGCCGGCCACAGTCGAGGAAGCGGCCAAGCTGGCAGACGAGCATCACGAGGGAAGAAAAGGAGAGGCTAGTGGAAACTGTCCTCTGGTAAGGTCCAGCGATCCAACACCAGGTCCTGTGACCAACCCCAGACCGAACGCGGTACCACCCACGACACAGCCTAACTTTAACAGGAGACCACCATTGGTATGTCACCAGTGCAATCAGCCAGGGCACCACAAAATACATTGCCCTCAGCAGAGCAGAGGCAATTGGGATCGGCCATCACCACCACCACTGAAGGCAGCCGCTCATCACTATCAACACGAGCCATTTGAAGAACACAACCCTGATTCTGAACAATGGGCCGTACTACATGAGGTGAACCTAGCCCAAGCCGAGGGGAACAACCGGTTGCACCACAGACAATGGGTCACAGTAGATGGAAAGGAGGCTGAGGCACTATGAGACTCTGGGGCCACCCTTACCCTGGTGCAGCCTCACACCGTATCTGCAAAGGCACGCACCAACAGGACTGTTGCATTAAGAGTGGCAGGAGGCGCCATCCACAAGCTACCCACAGCTCGGGTGCAGTTAAATTGGGGCACCGGAGCCAAACAGATGGAAGTAGGCATTATGTCCGGCCTACCTGCGGAAGTATTGTTGGGGAATGATTTGGGGTGCCTAACTTCACAGCTGATTACCACAGATCCCGCCGGAACCTGCCCCTTGACTACCAGGGCGCAAGCCCACCGAGCTGGACCGACACACTCCGAGGAACCACAGGTAGGAACCGAAAACCCCGTAGTATGCCCTAACCCTATCCCCTTCTGGGGCACCCGCCAAGACTTTGGCCAAGCTCAGCAGACAGATCCCACGTTAGCAGGTTACAGGAAGGCAGTAGGTACTCCTAAGGAAGGTAATGCCCAAGAGAACTTCCACTGGGACAAGGGACTTCTATATAGGGTCACAGGGGGAGTGGGAAGTGGGGCAGCCCAAGTTATAAAAAGGCAGCTAGTCATATCCTGCAAGTACAGAGCAGAGCTTCTAAAGCTCAGCCATGATATCCTGCTAGCTGGACATCTGGGTATCAAGAAAACTAAGAACCGCCTTACCCAGACATTCTTCTGGCCAGGGATATCAAAAGATTTACAAACGTACTGCAGGACATGTGACACATGTCAAAGGATAGGGAAAAGGGAGGACCACCCTAAGTCCAAGTTACGTTCCCTACCTATAATAGAAGAACCATTCTACAGAGTGGCAGTAGACCTGATAGGGCCCCTCAACAAACCCAGCTACTCCGAAAAGCGTTACATCCTCACGGTGGTAGACTATGCCACCAGGTACCCTGAGGCTGTGGCGCTCTCCAACATTGAGGCGGAGAGGGTAGCAGAGGCTCTAGTCAGGATCTTTTCCCGAGTAGGATTCCCCCGGTAAATACTTTCAGATCAAGGAACGTAGTTCACGGCAACTGTAACTCAACAGTTGTGGCAGAGCTGCGGGGTGAAACCGTTATTTAGCTCCCCCTACCATCCCCAGACCAACAGCCTATGTGAACGATTCAATGGCACGCTTAAGCAGATGCTCACAGTGTTCACAGAGTCATAAGGTCAATGGGAGAAATTTCTACCCCACCTCCTGTTTGCCTACCGGGAAGTGCCCCAGGCGTCCACCGGGTTCTCCCCCTTCAAACTCCTATACAGGAGAAAAGTCCGGGGACCCCTGGACCTCATACGGGAGCACTGGGAGTCCCTTTAAGCTGATTGCTGTCACCCAGCGCTGGGGGTACATTCGATTACATAGGATCACACTTTATTAGTGTGCTGTGGCTGTAATTTGAGGCCCCTTTGCTGTCACCCAGCGTTGGGGGTACATTCGATTACATGGGATCACACTCTATTAGTGTGCTGTGGATGCAATTTGAGGTCCCTTTAAGCTGATTGCAGTCACCCATCGCTGGGGGTACATTCGATTACATAGGATCACACTCAGTGTGCTGTGGATGCAATTTGAGATCCTGTGCGGTATCACGGTTAGACAACTCGTGGTAGCTTCCAGTTGTAGTCTTAAAGTTCACCGGTCATTAAGAGAGTTAAGTAACGGGATGGTTGTGAGAATGTCAATGTATTGAAGACCATTCATGTGAGAATGTTTAAATGAAAACCTGTCAGGCCAAAAACTACTTTTTATCTTTTTAAAGAACATTCGGTTTAATCAGGGCCGCCATCAGAAATTTTGGGGCCCCTGACAAATCACAAGGTCTGGGTCCCCCCACCCCCTATGAGCCAGGAGGATCCATTCGGGACTTTTATTCGTTTTATGGCTTTTTCTGAATTGACCGACCGCACACGCTGAATTCGTGGAACTGTTTTGGGCAGGAGCTTTGTGTGTGGTCGGTAACTTGTGACTACTTTTTAAGAACCCCTGAACCGATCTGGGTGAAATTTTGATATGTTGGTCCCCCAGATTGGGGCTATCAGGGGATATGTAATTTGTGGGGATACCTTGTGTGGAAAGGGGTGTTCTAACTTGTGAGAATTGTGTGCTCTCTGCCTGGAGTTAATTGGCTTATTCCTTAACTTATCTCAATATCTCC